CTTACGTAGGGATTGAGTCCAACCGCCATCTTACGTGGGGACCGAGCCCATACCGCCATCTTAGGTAGGGAAGGCGTTGGCAGTGCTGAGTTGCCCACTGCTCACGTTTCTGCTGGCGGAGGATTCGTCCTCTTCTAGGGGGCGCTGTCTCGGCAATCGGCACTCCCACATTTTGCACAAGTGTCAGAAGGCAGTGTGTGGCTGATGGGATGTGTATATTAAAAAAGCTACAATCATTTTATTCATTATATAAAGACGTCAATATGGGAGGAAGGGAATAATCTATGCGAATGTTTTGGTTACTCTTTGGTTCTTTCGGTAAAGTCACGTAGAAAGAAATTAAATAATAATAGAATACGACGTTTCGATTGCAACACAAGCAACCATCATCAGGTACAAATTAATGAGAAAACAAACATAGTAAACTTGGAAATATAATGCAATACAACAGAGAGAGTCGGCCAACACAACAGTCAACACCCCACCTGCTTGATTACGTTCTTCCAAAGATTGCTAAATTTGAGAAAGAGACGAAACATCGACACGGAGACACACAGACAGACACACAAGCAGAGAGAGACTCACACAGAGACAAACAGAGAGAGACACACACATAGGCACATAGAAAGACAACGTCTCTGTGTCGGGGCCTTAAATAGAGAGGGGGGGGCAGAGGGGGAGTTGTGTGGAATTCCTGCCCATAGGGGATGGACGAGTTGGACACTGGACTTCTATACAAAGGGGCCGTCCATAAATGACGTCACGCGATTTTCAACGATTTTTTACCCCCCCCCCCTCGTCACACGACGTCACAAAAAGTCAGACCCCCCTTCAAATATAACGTCACAAAGCTCTGCCCCCCCTAAAAAAAAGACATGCTTCAAATCGCTTTAAACTATTGTTATTGAGTGCGTATTTAATGTGGCGCTGCACTTTGATGTTGTAGGAGAAAACATTTATTTAAAAGTCTATTTAATTAAGTAGAACGTTCATTTAAAGCTTTCGTGACTGCAGGGATTCATATTCTTGGTTCTTTCGGTAAAGTCATGTAGAAGGGAAACAATAAAATAATAAAAACATAAAATAATCAAATTCTCACGACGTTTCGACTGCAACACAAGCATTCATCATTAAATGTGAAAACCACAACAATAAAATAAAAAAGTGGCGGTTATTTTTAACGCTAGCACCATGGAGAGAGATTTGACAGTTTGTTCAGATGGACGAGTCCATCTATGTTCGGAAAAGAGGAGGGGGAGACGAAAAATAATGGATTCGGTCTGAAAGCCACCTTAAGCGTGATCAATTAAGACCCGAAATGGTTTATCAAATCCTTCCAATGATTGCTAAGCCAGAATCCATCTTCTCGGTTGAAATTGTCTCTGTGTTTGTATATGTGGATAGCCTCATGAACGAATCTCTCATGGTAGCCAGATGGCTTGCAAAGAACCTCTGTCTTGGAGAAGTCAATGTCATTTGAACCTACTGAATTATAACAGTGATCTGCCACGGCCGAGGTGTTGGTCCTACCGTGTTTCAGGTCTGCTTTGTATTCACGAATGCGGTCCGAGACATGTCGTTTGGTTTCTCCAATGTAACTACTACCACAGAGGTCACTTAGTTTGTAGACGCCAACAAACTCCGGGATAAGAAGGCTCAGCTGATCGAGTCTCTCACCTTTCTGAAGAGATGCCTCGACTCTGCGGTAATACCAATCACATTTACACTGACCTCTGCTGCTGTAACTTCTGCTAATGCGAAACGAATTCTTTCTAGAACAAGCTTAGCTCTTATCTCAGAGACAATTTAGACTTATACGCACCGAACTAGATCAGTTAGACAAGACACTCTAGAAATCACACTTATCATTGACGGCAACAATGTCTACATCGGATTGGGAACATGTAGACAATATGACTGCCTCTTCAACTGCCACTATATCGACCAAATGTAAGGATAACCTGATTTCCAAATTTAACCTCCTCTCAAACAAAAGACCGGACCCACACACCAAAAAGCTAGACGTTAACAAAGTCGTAATTAATCGCAGTAACAGTTCTATTTCCGATGGTCTGAAATCCGTTTTAGCTAATGGGCTAAACTTTGCAGTCACACCTAAACACATACCAGTTAATGATATCATTGCCCAAGTAAATGTGGCTCTCAAGGGCCTGGGTCACATTGCTGCAGACGTAGCAAGATCTGACATCGCTGCAACCCTCAAAAACGCTAAGACGCCAGCTAGCAACCTCAGCAAAGATGAGCGTTTTGAATTATATAAATAAATAAAAAGAAATGACATTGTAATCCTCTCAGCCGACAAGGGCAATGCCACTGTCATCATGGATAAAATAGAATATAACAACAAAATTCAAGAATTACTCAACAATGGCAGCTATACAAAAATAAAAAGAGATCCCACCAACAGCCTCGTCATAAAAACCAACAAAATCATTCCTGATGCAACCGCATTAATTGATCAAACCAAACAGTTCTCGTTGAAACCTTCTGCTGCCAGGCCACCAAGATAATATGGCTTACCAAAATACATAAAGTAGATACACCCCTTCGTCCAATCGTCTCTACTATCAACTCCCCCACCTACAAACTGGCTCATTTTCTGTCTGAAATCCTGCAGCCTTTCACTGGAGAAACCACCTCTGCGGTACAAAATTCTACTCACCTGGTATCGACAATCAAGGGTATTTCCCTGTCCCCAGACGACCTGCTTGTCAGTTTTGATGTAGTTTCCTTATTGACCAAAGTTCCTGTACCTGACACCATCGCAATCATTGAAGACTTGGTTCATCAAGGACTGAACAATGAGGTACCCCCCCCCCCCTGGTAAGACACTGCTTAACCAATACATACTTCACTTGGAATGGAACTTTCTACAAACAAACTGAGGGCATCCCAATGGGCTCACCCATATCTCCGGTTATAGCCAACATTTTTCATGGAGAAATTTGATACTGACGCCATCCAGACTGCCACTCTGCGCCCAACCTTATGGAAGAGGTACGTGGATGACACTTTTGTCATCTGGCCACATGGCCGGCCTGCTCTAGACCAATTCTTCGACCACATAAATTCCATACACCAAGCCATCAGATTTACCATGGAAGTCGAAAAAGATGGCAAGCTACCTTTTTTGGTTGTCCTAATAAAAAAGAGACCTGATGGTTCAATGAGCCACTCTGTCTACAGGAAAGCTACCCATAAGGATGCTTACCTGAAACCGGATTCCCACCACCATCCATCCCAGAAGAATTCCCTCATCAAGACTCTGCACCATAGAGCCCAATGCATATCCGACCAGGAACATGTAGCCAGTGAACTCAAGCACATACACCAAGCTCATAAGGCTAATGGTTATTCCGACTACACAATCCGCAAAGCTATCACTCCAACCATGAAGGACCCTCTTGAGGAGCCTTTCAAAACCATCACTTTACATTGCGGGGATCACAAAAAAGATCTCCAAAATCTTGAATAAACACAAGATCCAGGTCCGATTCAACACATTACATAAAATCCGTGATCTGGTTCCGTCTGTAAAAGATGTGATTCCGGAATACAGTACCCTGGCGTCTACAAACTAAGTTGCCTCTGTGGTAGTAGTTACATTGGAGAAACCAAACGACATGTCTCGGACCGCATTCGTGAACACAAAGCAGACCTGAAATACGGTAGGACCAACACCTCGGCCGTGGCAGATCACTGTTATAATTCAGTAGGTTCACATGACATTGACTTCTCCAAGACAGAGGTTCTTTGCAAGCCATCTGGCTACCATGAGAGATTCGTTCATGAGGCTATCCACATATACAAACATAGAGACAATTTGAACCAAGACGAGGAATTTTGGCTTAGCAATCATTGGAAGGATTTGATAAACCATTTCGGGTCTTAATTTATTGTTCACGCTTACGGTTACCATGTGAGATTCGTTCATGAGGCTATCCACATATACAAACACAGAGACAATTTCAACCGAGAAGATGAATTCTGGCTTAGCAATCATTGGAAGGATTTGATAAACCGTTTCGGGTCTTAATTGATTGATCACGCTTAAGGTGGCTTTCAGACCGCATCCATTATTTTTAGTCTCCCCCCTCCTCTTTTCCGAACATAGATGGACTCGTCCATCTGAACAAACTGTCAAATCTCTCTCCATGATGCTAACGTTAAAAATAACCGCCACCTTTTTTCAATTTGCTTGTTGAGGTTTTCACACCTGATGATGATTGCTTGTGTTGCAGTCGAAACGTCGTGAGAATTTGATTGTTTTATATTTTTATTATTGTATTGTTCCCATTCTACGTGACTTTACCGAAAGAACCAAGAATATAAGTAGAACGCGTTGTCTATATTTAAAGTTGCGCATTTTGATGTGACGTCACATTTCTCAAACCTCCCTCTCTCGTCACACATCGTCACAAATGTCTGAACCCTTCCCCGCCCAGGTGCGTGACGTCATTCATGGACGGCCCCTTATATTCTCCACAACGACGCTATGATTACACTGTCACAAAAAAATGTGTCCCTGGGTAGTAAGTGGTATTTCCTAATTGCTTATGCCTCAAAAGTACAGAAAATGGCTGTTATTCCCCACAAACTTTACTTTTGTGACCAGGACAGTGATATTTTGAAATGTACATATTTTCAATGATAATACGTGGTGTGCATTTGTGTCATTCCTTCACATAAAGTCCTGGTCACAAAAGCAAACTTTGTGGGAATAGCCATTTTCTGTACTTTGTAGGCATGTTTATTTACAAAATAACGCTTACTACCCAGGGACAAAAATCGTGTTATATAGTATTATATATATGAGTTAACACTGTCAACGAACATTCCATTTGTATCGGGGTTACACAGTTCGCCTCCTACACCCCCAGGTAAGATGGCGTCAATCTTCACACATTGCGATGACGACATTTCCGCTCTACACCCCGTCCCCTGACCCTCCCTTCGTCAAACATTGCGATGACGTAATTTCCTCTTTACACCATCCTTGTCCATTCACGCGCGGGCTCCTGTGGGCCAGGGCGCGCGTTCTCGTCGCCGATTGGTCCGTCAGACGCGGCACGTGGTGGTCACAACGCGGCAGTGGCGGGGTCGCGAGACCCGGCGCTCTTGTGTTGGTTTGGGGACGCAGAGAGTAGTGGGACAGAGGAGCGAGCGGTGGGATAGAGGAGCGAGCGGTGGGACAGAGGAGCGAGCGGTGGGCTGGTGAGGGGGTGGGTGAGGTGCACAAGCGGCAGGTGAGCCGCAGGTGAGTCGGGCTCACTCACTCGCCGGCTCCCCCACGCTTACCTGTGGTGGGGGTATTATTATGATGATGATGGTGATTGCTGCCATTACGCTTGTGTTTTACCTCGGGAAACTCACCGATTCTCACGACTCTTGTCAGGAGGAGAGGGGGGGGGGGCGATGTTGATGCTGTGTGTGTGGGGGGTGCTCACGATTGTCTGAACCGGTCCTGGGCTTCCCCCTAGGTCGACTCGGCCTCAAGTGAGTAACTGGTGCGGTGTGTAGTAAACATCGCCACTGGGGAGACAAAGGCGATCGGGCGTAGTACTGGCCGCCTACCGCCTCGTGTGCCGTGCCGGCCTTCATAGGTGCTGCTCGCTAACAGCACTTGCCCCAACAGTCTGTTAATACTTTACGGGGGTGACCTTTGCATTGGTCCCATTTTGAGTGAATTATTGGTCGTTGTTTCCGCATTGCCGATATTTGGCCAATACCAGTTACACGGCGGCCTCCTCTCTCTGTTTGCACAACGTGGAGCCCTCTAAAGGAACGTCTGCGCCGGTTAGAGAAACATTCAGACTGGCCCTGCCTACGATCCATCCTGGGCTTTACCAGCAGGCAGCATTGCGTGCTGAGCTCACAAATCCTTGAAAGATCTGGACACAGTCCCATCGGTGAGCTCCTCTGGCAGGCGAGGCTTGCGTTGGCTGGGTCATTGTAGCCCGCATGCCAAGCCACCGCATACCCAAACAGCTTATTATGAAGAAAATAAGAATAAGTTTTACAGTTTCTGGAAATAAAAAAAAGGTGTTAAGATGTTCAAACACCAAATAGAAAGCTGTTGCAAGGAATAAAGTCTGCATTAACCACACACTACTTGTGGTGGACATGCAAACACATGCTCTGACAATAATACATGACATTGGCTTTGAAACTGATCGGATAGAGGGGCTAAACGAGCGCGACACAAGACTGAGGAAGGGATGGGGCTGAAGCATACGGAGCTGAGTGGACTTGCCGATGGCCGTGAGTGGCCTTGCCGATGGCCGTGAGTGGCCTTGCCGATGGCCGTGAGTGGACTTGCCGATGGCCGTGAGTGGCCTTGCCGATGGCCGTGAGTGGCCTTGCCGATGGCCGTGAGTGGCCTTGCCGATGGCCGTGAGTGGACTTGCCGATGGCCGTGAGTGGCCTTGCCGATGGCCGTGAGTGGCCTTGCCGATGGCCGTGAGTGGACTTGCCGATGGCCGTGAGTGGCCTTGCCGATGGCCGTGAGTGGCCTTGCCGATGGCCGCGAGTGGCCTTGCCGATGGCCGCGAGTGGCCTTGCCGATGGCCGCGAGTGGACTTGCCGATGGCCGCGAGTGGACTTGCCGATGGCCGTGAGTGGCCTTGCCGATGGCCGTGAGTGGACTTGCCGATGGCCGGTAGCAGCGGTGTCGAGATCGGCCTTTTTGGCAGAGGAGGAGGCTCGTTAAGGACGCTGCTGCTCCTGGGCAGCTGGGAGTCAGTCGCCCTCCAGCAACATCGGCGGAAGGCAGAAGGATACTTTCGTGTTCAGTGACTGCCGCAATACCCTGCATGCTACCCCCCCCCCCCCTACACAGTAGTACATCTCTGGTGTTAGCTGCTGTACGCACACAGCTAGCGCAACCCAACCACCATCCGTGGCCAAGAACCACACCGTGTGTGTGGACAATGATACAATTGACGATGTTTCGGGCAGCGGTCCTCCAGAGCACATGCAATATGCCAGAAGAGAGTGGGTGATACCATTTGGAGTCTGCACTTGCCCACAACTATGGGGCCCTGCTGAGAATCGCATGTTTTCTGATGGCCCTAGTGTTATTAGTAGGCTTTATGAAATGCTGTATAGGTTGCATCGAACATTGATTGCTATTTGGTAACGGACGCAACGCTCCGTTAGTGTCTAGATAAATGCACCTAGTCAGGGTGACTCAGCACACTGGCGCACTGCCACCACGCCCGGCAACGCCGACACGTCGAGACACGCCCTGGTGATGGCAATGGTCGACCTCCCTGTCTCCCCCCAGTGGGCCCCCCATCTCCCTCCCTCCCCCAGTGGGCCCCCCACCTCCCTCCCTCCCCCAGTGGGCCACCCACCTCTCTGTCTCCCCCCAGTGGGCCCCCCATCTCCCTGTCTCCCCCCACTGGGCCCCCACCTCTAGCGGGTCCAACCTCAGTGGGTCCCACTATCCCCCAGCGAGCCCACGTGGACAGGTGTGTGGGACAGTCACAGGTGTGTGTACGTGTGTGGGACAGTCACAGGTGTGTGTGTACGTGTGTGGGACAGTCACAGGTGTGTGTACGTGTGTGGGATAGTCACAGGTGTGTGTGGGACAGTCACAGGTGTGTGTGTGTGTGGGACAGTCACAGGTGTGTGTGTGGGACAGTCACAGGTGTGTGGGACAGTCACAGGTGTGTGTGTGGGACAGTCACAGGTGTGTGTGTGTGGGACAGTCACAGGTGTGTGTGTGGGACAATCACAGGTGTGTGTGTGGGACAGTCACAGGTGTGTGTGTGGGACAGTCACAGGTGTGCGTGTACGTGTGTGGGACAGTCACAGGTGTGTGTGTGGGACAATCACAGGTGTGTGTGTGGGACAATCACAGGTGTGTGTGTGGGACAGTCACAGGTGTGTGTATGGGACAATCACAGGTGTGTGTGTGGGACAATCACTGGTGTGTGTGTGGGACAGTCACAGTTGTGTGTGTGGGACAGTCACAGGTGTGTGTGTACGTGTGTGGGACAGTCACAGGTGTGTGTGGGACAGTCACAGGTGTGTGTGGGACAGTCACAGGTGTGCGTGTGTGGGACAGTCACAGGTGTGTGTGTGGGACAGAGTCGCAGGTGTGTGTGGGACAGTCACAGGTGTGTGTGGGAGTCACAGGTGTGTGTGTGGGACAGTCACAGGTGTGTGTGTGGGACAGTCACAGGTGTGTGTGTGCGTGTGTGGGACAGTCACAGGTGTGCGTGTACGTGTGTGGGACAGTCACAGGTGTGTGTGGGACAGTCACAGGTGTGTGTGTGTGGGACAGAGTCGCAGGTGTGTGTGGGACAGTCACAGGTGTGTGTGTGTGTGGGACAGTCACAGGTGTGTGTGTGTGGGACAATCACAGGTGTGTGTGTGGGACAATCACAGGTGTGTGTGTGGGACAGTCACAGGTGTGTGTGTGTGGGACAGTCACAGGTGTGTGTGTGGGACAGTCACAGGTGTGTGTGTACGTGTGTGGGACAGTCACAGGTGTGTGTGTACGTGTGTGCGGGACAGTCACATGTGTGTGTGGGACAGTCACAGGTGTGCGTGTGTGGGACAGTCACAGGTGTGCGTGTGTGGGACAGTCACAGGTGTGCGTGTGTGGGACAGCTACAGGTGTGTGTGTGTGGGAGAGTCACAGGTGTGTGTGTGTGTGTGGGACAGAGTCGCAGGTGTGTGTGGGACAGTCGCAGGTGTGTGTGGGACAGTCACACAGGTGTGTCAATTTGTGTAGCACTTCCAACAAACAGTCTGTTCAGGCTGTACCGGGGATTTTTATCTTCGCAGGAGAGTGAATCTTGTTATAGGGAGCGATGGCACAGTGGTTTTAACGCGCTGCAGAAGGAGAAGCGGTCCTCGGCCATCCTCTAAGGCGACTCGGCCTCGAACGAGTACTCGGTGCGGTGTGTTACAACTTCGCCATTGGGTCTGGCGTGGTGCTGGCCACCCACCCCCTTGTGTGCCGTGGCGGCCTTTATAGGTGCTCGCTAACAGCACTTACCGCAACAGTCTTTGTAGGAGAACGCGAGAGTGTGAAAGTGAGTAGGTATGGGTGGTGTATTGAAAATTGTTGATACTGCTACTGATACTCCTGCTGTTATGGAGTGACTCATGCTGCCAGCTATGGCTGCAAAGTTTGGTCGTACATGTTATGTATATCGTTTATTGTTAAATTTGAATCACAGTTCCTATGATCACAGTTACATTGTTTTTATCGCTTTATTTTGGTGATTTTGAAAACGTTTTGGTTTAGCCATGTTTTGTTTGTTGTAGTACAGAGTTAGCCTGATCACTTTAATCTAAATTGTCTTATGGTTGTTATAGTTTGACTTGCATCCCACTGGGATTTTTGCACACAGCCTTGATATACGGTGCTTTGTCTGTAAGACTTTGCTGTTTTTTCCTGGATTTTTCTGTTGCGTGTAGTCACTTTAAATGTTTCTTGTTCATGTTTTTCTTTGTCGCGGTTGCACCCGAGTCAAGAGCCGCCTAGCTCACAGGGTTATACCTAATAAATGAAATGAAACTGAGAGAGCGTGAGTGAATGTATGAATGTGTGTTTGTGCTCGGTGCAAGAAAGTAGTAGGTGCTCGCTAACAGCACTTTCCCCAACAGTCCGTGTAGGCTATACGGAGGATCTTTGTCTTTTGTGAGTGTGCGTTTGTGTGAGGGTGTCTAATTGTACGTGTCTGAATCTACGGGTTTATTTGAGTCTGTATGTATGTGTGTGCTAGTGTATGTGCATGTCTGTTCGCCTCTATCTTGTGTGTGTACCTGTTCGTGCATGTGGGGGGAGCGGTGGCAACGTGGTTCGCGCACTGTGCTACGTACCCGGGCCATCCGATTTCAATTCCCACTCACGGGCAATACCATCGATGATTGTCTGATCTTGGTCCTGGGAAGCTCCTCGGTCGATTCAACCTCAAATGAGTACCTGCTGCAGTGTGTAAGCATCAGCACTTGGGAGGCAAAGGCGATCAGGCGAATGTCTGTGAAGGCTATAAGAGGGATCTTTTTGTTAGTGCCTGTTTATGCCTGTGGGGAGCTGCAGTGTGGCGGTTAGCACACGACACTACGAACCCGGCGACCCAAGTCCGATTCCCCTTTCACAGATACATCAGCGGCAGTCATCTGAACCAGCCCTTAGGCACCTCTCCTCGGTCGACTCGGGTTTCAATGAGTATCCTGGTGCGGTGTGTATAGCGTCAGTACTGGCATGGTGCTGGCCACACCACCTCCCCTCGTGAGCCGTGCCAGCCTTCATAGGTACTTGCCATAAAATGTCTGTTCAGGCTACGTGTGTGGGGGATCTTCATCTTTGTGTGCGAGTGAGTGGAGTTTGTATGTTCTTCCTCTGGGTTTTCTCCCGTAGCTAAAAACAACATGCAGTCCGATCTCCTACAAAGCAGTGGTAGTTGCGTTCCTGAAGAACACCACGTTGTGGAACAATTATAACACGAACAAATCGCGTTATAATAACCGTTTGGTAGCACGTGAGATGCGTAACGAAGACCGATCAAAGACTGAGGCGTGGTGGGTAGCATCTAGAAGCATCCAGCAGCATCCCGCCTTGTACAACTGCTTATGCCTACTCGCGCGGTGTAGTTTTGTTGGTTAGGTCTCGTTATATCACAACTCGCATCTTTAAAATAAATAAAAAATGTTCCCTACGATACATTAATCGCGTTATATATCCAGTTAGTATTATGAAAACATGCGACATTTTCAGAATGGACTAGCACCACCCACCTGCAAAATGAGTCTTGAGACTCGTTGAGGCTTTCCTGGGCAAACGAGTGGAAGAGTAACGATGATACTTTGTCTGTGTCGGTTGAAGGTGGCAGAAGGAGAAGCGATGATGCTCGTAGTGACCATACAGATACTGCTGGGTGAGTGGCACTCCTACGCACGCGCACCACACCAACAGAAAGACAACGATCCCCCCCCCCCCCATAGCCTTAAACAGACTGTTGGGGCAAGTGCTGTTAGCGAGTCGTACCTATGAAGGCCGGCATGGCATGCGACGGGGTGGGTGGCCAGCACCACGCCCGACACCTTTATCTCCCCAGTGGCGATGTTTCATATTGCACTAGCTACTCATTTGTGGCTGAGTCGACCTAGGGGAGGCCCAGGACCGGTTCAGATTATCGTCACTGGTGTTGGCCATGAGCGAGAATCGAACTCCTGTGGAGGGGTTCGTAGCGCAGCACGCTAACCGCTGCGCCACCACTCTCCATACCACGCACATAGCACACATGCTCAGTACACACGCTCAAACACACAACTTCAGTACACACACGCACAAAGACAAAGATCCCCCATATAGCCTTAACAGACTATTGGGGCAATTGCTGTTAGCGAGCACCAATCACACACGCACGCTAAAACACATACACAACGTAGCGCAATCGTATGCATACAACCTCAAACAGCGCATAGCACACACGGTACACACACAAATGCACACGTGTACATAAAGCACACGCATCGAGTACACACGCCCAAACACACGCGCAATGATGCAGATGCTCTGATGGTGGTGATTCAGACAGTGTTGATGGTGATGATCCTAATGCCAGTGATGAAATTACAATTTTCATTAATAACCTTGTTTGTGGTGCTCAATATGCGAACACTAATGGTGGTGCTGATGCTGCTGGTACTGCTGCTAATGGTACTGCTGCTGGTTCTGGTGTTGCTGCTGCTGCTGCTGTTGTTGCTGCTGCCACTGGTGCAGCGCTGCACGCCGCGATGGCGATGGAGCTGTGGGGGCCGCGGGAGCTGCGCACCGTGGAGGGGGCGCCAGTGCTACTGCTGCCATGCGACTTCCGCTCGGTGGCGCCGATCTCCCCGCTGCTGCGCGTCGTGTGGCAGCGCCGGGACTCGCCAAAGCACCCCGCACAGCCGGTACCGGGTGGGGTGGTGGGGGGGGGCGGGTTCTTGTGAGTATTTACAGTAATAAGATTAAAAACTATTACACTTTTTTTTTTTTTACCAGGTAAGGCCAACTGAGCTACACAGTAAACCCTCGCCATGTGAGGGTTGCATATTTGCGAGTTACTAAAATGTTTACCGATTCCCTATTCATGACACCCACCGGACTCCAGTATTCGCCTGTGGGCGTAGTGCCTGCAGATCACCAACACCGGGGAGGTGTGCGCAGAATGTTGTTGCATTGGAAACGGTCTGCTGCGATGATTAGGCACACCACCTCGGCTGCCCGCTTAATCCACAAGTCTCGCAGTAATCCTGCTCAGAACCCGCCATTGTGCATTTTTACGTTATGCGTACGACTTACAGTCGACTCGGCTATACATGTTGGTATAAACAAGTCGACTATGAGGTTTGTTTAAAAGGAACGCGAATGCAATCAGGAAGCGGGCTAGCGCTCACTCCCCAGAGTGCTAAAATGATGTGCGACTTTGTTATCAAACCCCCCTGCATCTCCCGAGGAGTCATCCTCCTGAATTCCTCACCATCACCACCACCTCAATCGTCGTCAAATCATCAAAGGTTATTAAAAACACATTGTTAAAAAAAAATGTAGTTAGTGTAGTCATTGTTAATAAACATTTACCATTTACCCCCATATGTTCACTCGTACGAGGAACGTAACCCCCATTTTTCCCATTTCAAATGACTTTTTTTCTGAATTCACGAATTCTGAGTTTGTGAGTGTTTTTAAGAACATAACCCTCGCGGATAGAGAAGGGTTTACTGTATAGCTCTTTTTCAGAAGCGACCTGGCCACAAATGAAAGCTCAACTAAGTGGCTTTTCACGTGGAAATTTATAGCAGCCAAATGCTCTAAACACAAATGTGGAGTGAAAAACTGGAGGACCCTGGAGAAAAATCCCCACGACCATGGGGAGAACATGCAAACTCCAAATATACAGCAGGCTTCAGGGTTGGGATCGAACCCATGACCTCCTGGTATACCAGGCGAGGTAGTTAACATCTCCTCGCTACCGCGGTGCCCCGGCAAAACCCTGATTTAAGTCTCCCCCAATACCCTGATTTACGCAAATACACCGTCACTTGATTAACACCGCTACCCGATTAGCATCACCTCAACCCCACCACCCTCACGTCGCTGACAGCATCGTCCTTCCTTTCTCGCGATCCGTCGCCTCTCAGCCTTCGCCTCCACCACCTTACCCTGTCAAACGCTTCTTTTAATTACGTCGTTTTGAATATTCTTCGTTAGCACCTTTCAGGAACGCTTTCCCCGACGTAATCCGGGGCAATTACCATACCACGAGAGTTGCCATGAGACGTTACCTTGGGACCTTGCTACCACACAACGTTGCCACTTGACGTTGCCACGCAATGCCAGTTTTATTTCCCTGCCACTGTGTGGCAGCAGTGCACAGGCAGAGCAACTCGCAGAGACACCGACCGGGCTCTGCATGCGAGATCAACACCCGTGCGTGGTAGTCACGGGGAACCCATGCGGGGTACGACACGTGTGCCTGAGCAAGGATGTACGGGTGCGTGTGGTTGACGTGGACCGTCGCAGGTGCTGCTTTTGGAGGGGCCGAGCGACTGGCGCAGCGCGGGGCTTCTGCGTGGCCGCGCTCGCTGGGCGGGCCGTGTGACCGAGGGCAACGCCGCGCTGGAGCTGCTGGCGCCGCAGCCGTCTGACTCAGGCCTCTATTCGTGCGATGTCCTCAACCTCCCCGACGTGGACGGCGTGCCGACCCGCACACAGCTCGTTGTGCTCGCGCGCGGTAACAAACGCACACTTGCACACACGCACACTCGCACGCACACACCGAGACAAAGGTCCCCCCCCCGTGTAGCGTGTAAAATCTTTGGACCGGTTTCGACATTCAGTTTCTCAGCAGAGCAAGGTTTGCTTGCACCACTGCGTATGAACGTTCAGATGTTTATAGAAGCAAGGACCCTCTCTCTGTGCAAGATATGAGTGCTCGTTTTTCGCATACAGTGAAACCTTGGATTGCGAGTAACTTGGTCTGCGAGTGTTTTGCAAGACGAGCAAAAAAAGTAAATAAATAATAATTTGATAAACGAGCGATGTCTTGCAATACGAGCAGTACGTACAGTATACGCTTTGTCTGCTGAGCGTCACGTGATCACAACTGAGCCAATGGTTCTCCTCTCTCTCTCGCTGCGGGATTGTGGGTAATCATCTCCCATGCTCGGTCTCAGTCGGCGTGCCTCACTCGTATAGTGAACATCCATGCGGGCTTATACTGTTTACTACAGTATAGTGTTGTGACTACGTGTGTACTGTTTACTATTGTGTTGTACCACGTGTGTGTGCGTAAAGCATTTTTTTTATTTTGTGTCCAAGTGTAGTGACTGTTCTTTAGTAACTGTACTGCAAGTGAAAGTCGTCCTACACAATAACCCTCCTCCTCCTCTCCTCTCTCTCGTCTCCCTCACACCAGCCACGATTAAATCTAATTAATAAATTTGATTACTTGATATTAAATTTAAATAATAAAAATATAAAAAGGTATTTTGTATTAATAATTTTTATATTAATACAGTATTTTTGGGTTGTGGAACGAATCATCTGAGTTTCCATGATTTCTTATGGGGAAATTCGCTTTGATATACGAGTGCTTTGGATTGCGAGCACGTTTCCGGAACGAATTATGCTCGCAATCCAAGGTTTCACTACCTCTATAATTTCACAACACAGAATACTCTGAGTTATGAAACTGATACAAGGCTGAGTTATGAAACTGACACAAGGCTGCAGGTGTTACCTTCGCAGACGCGTAGGGAGACATACTCTTTGTTTTTTTTTCGGTAAAGTCACGTAGATAAAACAAAATCAAAATAAAAGTAAACAACTAAATCAAATCACGACGTTTCGGAGGCAACACAAGCCTCTGTCTTCAGGTGGAACAGTCACAGCAAGATAGCTGCATCAAGTGGTGAGCTCTGAGACCCTCGAGCTTATATACAGGTTAAGGTGGGGGGGAGGAGCCAAGCAGGGAACGACGACGAGGCTAAGTTAATCCGTCTTTTGTTATGTTGGGGGTTCAGGGGAAGCGGTGGTTCACTGCACGGGGGCAATGAAAAATTGAAAAAACGGCTGTGCGCTTATAAGGTAGCTGAAGTTTTGACTTGGTTTATGACATCTTTCCAGTGGTTGCTTAATTTAAAACCATCCTCTCGGTTGAAGTTGTGTCTATGTTTGTAAATCTGGATGGCTTCATGGACAAATCTTTGGTAATAACCAGGAGGTTTGCATAGTACTTTGGTATCGGAGAAAACAATGTCATGAGAACCAGCTGTGTTGAGACAATGATCAGCCACAGCCGAAGAATTCGTTCTGCCGTGTTTCAAATCTGATTTGTGCTCGCGAATTCGGTGAGAAATATGTCGTTTCGTCTCCCCGATATAGCAGTCACCGCAGATACAACTCAATTTGTAAACACCGGGGTACTGTAAGTCAGGGATGACATCCTTTACGCATGGGATCAGATCACAGATTTTGTGTACTATATTTAACCGAACCTGGATCTTGTGTTTGTTTAGAATTTTTGAAATCCTTTTGGTGACGCCTGCTATGTATGGCAGTGTGATGATTTTGATCGGAGTGTCAAGTGGTTGCTTCTGTATGGTAGGAGAAACAGCTTGGCGGATGATACGGTCAGAGTAACCGTTCATCTTGAGGGCTAGATGTACATGTTTCAATTCCCTGGTCAGGTGGTGTTGGTCAGAAATGCAATGAGCTCTATGGTATAATGTTTTGATGAGATCATTCTTTTGAGCCGGGTGGTGGTGGGAATCAGGCTTCAAGTAGGAATCTGTGTGGGTGGACTTCCTGTAAACAGAATGTCCCAAAGAGCCATCAGTCCTCTCAAACAGAACATCCAAGAATGGCAGCTTGCCATCTTTCTCCACTTCCATGGTGAATTTGATGGATGGGTATCTGGAATTGATGTGGTCTAGGAAATGGTTCAAAGCTGGGAGGCCATGTGGCCAAATGATGAAAGTGTCATCCACATATCTGTTCCACAGGGAAGGACGAAGGGTGGATGTCTGGATGGCGTCTGATTCAAATTTCTCCATGAAAACATTGGCTATCACTGGTGACAAGGGGGAACCCATAGGGGTACCCTCATTTTGTTTGTAGAAAGTGGCATTCCAGGTAAAGTGAGTGTTGGTGAGGCAGTGCCTAACCAGCGCAGGTACATCAGGGTTCAGTCCATGTTGGACCAAATCCTCAATTATTGTTATGGTATCAGGTACTGGGACCTTGGTAAACAGAGAAACAACATCAAAGCTGACGAGGATATCGTCAGGAGATGGTACAATGTCTTTGACCATAGAAACCAATTGGGTTGAGTTAAGTACTGCTGAGGTGGTCTTGCCAGTGAAGGGGAGCAGAGTATCCGACAGAAAACGGGCTAGCTTGTAGGTAGGGGAGTTGATCGTGGACACGATGGGTCGTAGTGGGGTACCTTCTTTATGGATCTTAGGAAGACCATAGAATCTGGGAGGCGTAGGGGGACGTTAATGCAATGACAAAGATCCCCCGCGTAGCCTCTAACGTATGCATGTTGAACTTCACACCGTATGTAGCCAACCGTGCTAATCGGAGGGGCGGGGAAGGACAACAAACAACGTAAAAACAGTTCTTAACAAATACGTTGCAATGCATAGCTCCAGTGGCTTCCTAATATCGGAAAAGAAGAGCGTTCCAGAGGGCCGCAGAAGCGCAATGCAAAGGCGCGTGATGCGGCGACCGTCTTTGTTCCTTGGCCAGCCAAAAGCCACTGCTGCTGCGAGGATGAGCGAAGTTTTGCAACCCGCGACCACCACTCGTACTCGCAGCGCCTCACGGCTCTCTGAACCTCTAGACGATTTCGGGAGGGATGGAGGGAGGTGTGAGAGAGGAGGGAGGGAGTAGGGGAGAGGAGGGGGGAGGACAGGGGGTGGATTCATGAGAGGGTGTAATGGTGGCAAAGATGTTCGCTACCTCACCTGGTATCCAGGAGGTTTGTGGGTTCGATCCCGAGCCCCACGCCTGTTGTATGTTTGGAGTTTACGTGTTTCTCTTCCCGTGGTCGTGTGGATTTTTATATGGGTCCTCTGGTTTTTCCATCCACATGTAGAAGAATCAACGTCATACGCTCAGAGTAGTTGGCTGCTGCTATAAATTTCCATGCGACAATAAGGCCACTTCGTTGAGCTTTTATTTGTGATGGCCAGGTCCCTTCTGAAAAACATCTACTTGGCAGCTCAGTGGGGCCTTACCTGGTAAAATAAAAAAAGTAGTTTATAGGGGGGAGGGAATGGTTGTGCTCGCTCGGTCTGTACTCGAGGTGCTGGGACATGCTGTGCCTCCTGAGGCACGAATCCTTCCCCTGTGGGACGGGGCAGAGAGAGATAGAGAAGGGGGGGAAGAGAAGTAGAGAGGCAAAGGGAGGGTGGGTGAAGAGGAGAGAGAGAAGGAGAGAGTTAAGTTAGAAAAAGAGGGAGAAAGAGAGAGCGAAGCCATCAAAGGCGCTCTCTCTCCGCCGATTTCCACCATCCAGCCGTACGGAGCAGGGCACGTTCTCAGATCTGCTTTCCCTTTAATTGGCCCTAATTGGGGGTAATTGCCGGGATCCCACAGTCCACCGCCTTTGTGGCGTTGGCGGCTCCTGCCCCCGTGGTGCCCCTACGCCAGCTGGAGCCCCCCCGGGGCAACAAAGCCTTTCTGTGGCGGCGCGAGGGGAAACCGGCTCTCAGCGCCGTCCATGCGCCCCGTCTCTCGCCTCTCCTCGTCCGCAGCGCCGACCCCCAGACCTGCCAATGGGACGCGACCGGAGTCGGACTCGCCCACGCCGCCCGCGCACACCACCGTGGAGAGCGAGCGAGGCGAGAGGGCGTGGGGAACCGTGTCGTGTCCGGGGCCTGGCGCCATGCAGTTTGTACTGGTTGGTGCGGGCCTTCTGGTGGGCGTGGCCCTGCTGGTCACAGCGGCAGCGCTCGTGAAGAGGTCACGGAGGAAGGCGACGAGGTGAGGTGGCTCCGCTACAGCTGACAAGGGGGGGTGTGGGTGTGTTGGGGTCTGATTGTGTGGGTGTGTGTGGGAGCGGTGGCATCGTGGTTAACGCGCTGCACTACAAACCCGGCGACCCGAGTTCGATTCCCGCTCACGGCGAACATGGGTGACGATTATTTGAACCGGTAACTGACCTCGGTCGACTCGGCCTCAAATGATTACCTGGTGCGGTGTGCAAGCACCGCTTCTTGGGAAACAAAGGCGGCCGGGCGTAGTGATGGCCACCCACCCCCTCATGTGCCGTTTCAGCCTTCATAGGTGTTGCTCGCTAACAGCCCTTGCTCCAACAGTCTGTTAAAGGCTATGCGGGGAATGTTTGTCTTTGAACTCCAATCAAACCAATAATAGCCTCATCTTAGCTATTGAAAGTTGGAGTTGGCATCGTCCCCCTTTCTCCAGATTCCGAGGGTAATTGAGTAAGCTTCAGGACTGTGGCTCATGCAGCTGCAAAGGCTGCATTTGATACACGGTTCAGACCTCCTCACCAGAGACCCTGGCTGACAGAGGAGGTGTTCCAGCTGGCCTGAGAGAAAGTGACAGGCCCACGCCCATCGTCTCCAACAGTGTTTATCATTGCAAGGCCTCACAGGCCACTGGCGGCCCCGGGGTGGTCTTTAGTGCAGCCTCTGACGTGCGGCCCCCAATAATACACAAATAGTGAAAAAAAACCCATCGTACTGTCAAAACCCCCAATAGTTTCAAATATGTGATGGCCCTCACTGATGATGTCTAATTGGTGAAAGTGGGCCCCCCTCTGAAAGTTAGTGAGGAACACTAGCCTAAAACATCCCACGTTGGAGACTGAAGATGAGTGGTGGTCGTGGGTTTCTGAGGAGATCACAACTCGCTCTCCAGTTCCACCTATTACAGTCCATAATGGAAGGAATGATGATTCGATCTTCGAACCCCAACGTGCACCTCGCCTGACACAAGCGCTGTGGTGACGACGCCTTAATTTAGTGGTGAATGAACGCTGCTGCTGCTACCGCCGCTCCTGCTACTATTTCTTCTGATGCTACTGCTGTTGCTTCTGCTGTTGCTTCTGCTGTTGCTACTGCTGTTGCTTCTGCTGTTGCTACTGCTGTTGCTACTGCTGATGCTGCCCCTACTGCGTTTGCTGTTACTGCTGCCGCTACTGCAGCTGCTGCGACTGCAGCTGCTGCTATTGTTGTGGCTGCTACTGCTGTTGCTCCTGCGGCTGCTGTCTTCGCTGCTGAACGGACGCGTGGGTGTAGAGTTCTGTCTTCACTTCCTTGTCTCCGTGCAACAGGAGTCGATTCGAGGAGCCAGAGGAGCACGGGGATGGCAGCACCGTGACCCTGGTGACCTCGTGAGGGCAGCACGGCGGTGGGGGACGACGGGGGGACAATGGTGGGGGCGGTGGGAGGGGGGGTACGGGAGGGCCGGGGAGGAGGAGGCTGTTAGTCAATGTTGAGGCTGTAGGTTAACGTTAAAGCTGTAGGTAGCATTGAAGCTATGGGCAGCGTTGAGGTTGGAGGTCAGCGTTGACAGCTCTAGGTAGCGTTGAAGCTATTTGTCAAGAGTTGAGGCTGTGGGTTAGCATCGAGGCTGTGGGTTAGCATTTAAGCTGTAGGTCAGAGTTGAGGCTGTAGGTCAGAGTTGAGGCTGTGGGTCAGCTTTGAGGCTGTGGGTCAGCATTGAGGCTGTTGGTCAGTGTTGAGGCTGTGAGTCAACGATGGTAACCAGTGGTGAAATGATTCACCCACACAGTTTGCTTCCAAAAAAATTGTTCCTTTTATAGCATTGTAGTGAATGCTTAATGGCGCCTGTAGTGGGCTGCCAGGGGTTACATGAACCCACTGTGTACACCGCGTACAGATCTAATCATGTCCTTCTCACGCGTGTGAGGTGCTGCTGCCACGACAACTTTCCTGCAACAGTGGCCGTTCCGCAGAAACAGTTCTGATCGAGTGCATTTGGTACCGATACGTAGGCCTCGGCAAGGTAAGGTAATTTACCCTTTTTACCGGGTAAAAGGGTAAAGGTAAAGGGTAAAGGTGTCGACATGCCAAGGGGTAAGGTAAAGGGTAGGGTAAAGGTAGCGCAGAAGAATTACCCGGTAGGGTAAAGGTAGCGCGAAGTATTACCCGGTAAATACGGTGCCTTGTTTACCGCTAAAAGCTCTGTGGCGCAGTCCGTGGCCTCCATTTAATAAGTAATATTTTTGTTAAAAGCTTTTTTAAAAACACACTGTTATGAAATGTACCGTACTAGTAATGGCAGAACTCCACGACTCCAGGAAGTGACCCCGAAGCTTGCCACAACGTAAGGGACCGTGGCCAATTACAGCCAACGTCAGTTGACAGTGGACAATTAGACCCAAGCCGAAACATAACATGAAAAATAATATTTAAAAATATATATTTTAAATGATTGAATATAGTATTGTCATCAGTATGACATAAGTATACCAAGTTTGCAGTCAATTCCACATTGGGAAGTGAGTTAAAATTGAGTTACAAGATTTGAGGATACAACGACAACAACAACAACAGACAGAGTGAGTTAAAAGAAAGCGTGTAAAATTGGAATCATCGAAAGTATTCTATATGATAAAAGCACTCTACCTAGCATTTACTTGTTATAAACCTTTTTCACATGTAGTAGTACCCCAGTAATTACCCTGTAATCGGGTAATTTGTATGGGGTAAGTGTAAAAGGTAGGGTAAAGGTAGGCTCGTTGTTTTTACCTTACCTTGCCGAGGCCTACCGGTGCGGTTGTTCTTACAGCACACGGAAGGCGCTGCTGCTGTGCCTGCTGTGTTTCATAGAAGTCTGTCCATAATAGAGGTTTTGTTGGGTTAGATCGCGTAAATGTGAATGTGTCATTAAACCCGCCACCACCCGACACACCCAATTAGTAAGGGTTTGTCACTTACAACATGCCAAATCTTTGCTAGTTCAGCACACACCAATGTGTGTTGGAGAGTTAACCCACAACAACATTTACAGTTTGAGTACAGTGATGTTTCGCCGGTAATTACAACAACCAACCTCATCAGGCAACAGCCAGAGAACAGTCTGGACAGCTTTCACTGGCAGGGGGAAATGTCGCAGCTGCTACGGTGCGCGATCTCAATTGGCTAATTTGCGGTGACATTTTACACATCGCTGAGCAATAATTTTTTGGAAAATTTGCCAAATTTGGTTTCGTGTTGCTGGCTCACGATGGGCCGCCCCAAACCGCTCTCTCTCCGAACGACTTCAGGGATCTCTCCGTCGTCAAATGCGAGTGAAGCGGACGGCCCATTAGAGTTAATGCGCTCAACGCTCACTGCCGCAGTAATGACCCAGGGCGGCCTGCCAGATTCGAACCGCGGAACCTCTCCAGCAAGCGGTGATCGCTGGCCGTGGCAGCTCTTTAAGTTATTTCTATTTTATTATTAGTGTTTGTCGGTGTTATTTATTGTCACGTAGACCCTGCTGTTACACGTCTACAGGTGTCATAGAAGCGCCAGACTGTCTAGGCCAGAGGCGTGGCTCTTAGTCGGAAGTTCACGAATGGGCCGTGTCGGGAGACGAGTTAATTCCCTCGCCTGGTGTGCATGAGTTTAAGCGTTCGGTCACCAACCTGCAATATGCATATTGATATTTGGAGTCTGCGTATCTGTCTCTCCCCATGGCAGTGTGGATTTTTATCCAAATCAACGTCACACGTTGAGAGTATGTGCCTACCCGCTATTACATTTCCACGTAATGATGATAAGCCACTCCGTTGAGCTATCATTTGTGATAACCCAGTTGCTTCTCAAAAAGAGCTACGTAGCTCAGTGGGCCTTACCTGCAACGTAGAAAAAAATTTGTTTAAAATAGTTTCAGCCACCCCCAGGGCTCTGGAGCGTGCGGTTCGACGCACCGATCGGCAGTTCGTCGGTGGGTGTGGTCGTTGGATGAATCCTGGACCCCGTAACATGACGCCGGCTCTTGTGCTGGAGTCAGTGGGAACCCGTTTCTCAGCGGGGGGGGGGGGGGGGGGGGGCTCGTCCTGGCAGAAGCCAAGAGTGTGTCCTGTCTTGCGACGCCGCAGGCCCTTGGAGGCAAATGAGAATAAGCCCTGGTGATATAGCTTCTCTGTCCTTGCCCAGGGTGAGCCGTGAGTTAATCCGTTGTTTGTACTCACGTTTGTTTACCAAGAAAAAGTCTTCGCTCAAGAGTTGTGTGTGATCCCAATTGAGCGGAGCGGTGGTGTAGCGGTTAGCGTGCTGCACTGGTGACGATTATCTGAACCGGTCCTGGGCCTCCCCTAGGTCGACTCAGCCTCAAATGAGTACCTGGTGTGGTGTGTAAATACATTGCCACCGGGGAGTGGTGCTGGCCACTCACCCCCTCGAGGGGTCCGGTGGTCAGCAGGAACGGCACACGAGGGGGGTGTTCGCTCACAGCACTTTCCCCAATAGTCTGTTATAGGCTATATGGGGGGGATCTTTGATCCAAATTGAATAATTTTCAAGTTGGGATTTTTTCAGGATTGGGATATTTTGACCAATACTTTCATATGGAAGAGAGAAAGTAAAGAACTCAGAGGAAACCCATGCAGAATGGGGGAGAGAGAGATCACACAAACTCCATACAGAAGGTCGCCAGAGTCGGGATTAGAAACCAGGGCCCTTGTCGCCGTGAAGCGCAAATGTCTCCACTGGAATTGTCCGAATCTCCCAAACGTGTCCAGCACCCCACCTCCACTGAACGAGTCTTGAGACTCTGTGAGGCTTCTCCTGGGTGTCAACCCCCAGGCCCCCCACCCCGTTTCTGCTGGCGAATATCCAAGGCCCCCTGGCAGGCAGGGCCCCCTCGCACTGCTGCCGGTTTCCCCCATTGGCTGCTGTTTTGTCTCGTTACCAAATCGCGATGCCATACGATGGCCCCCCTTGTAAGAAGACGTTTCAATCTAGCGAGGGGGAGGGGGTGCGGGCTAGAGTCGCGTTATTCACTCGCCGGCCTGCAGCATTCGTCAATGTAAATTAACGATGGGAGTCGCCGCATCGTGGTTACGTGCGGTGTGTGACGTCGGGGCGCTCGCTGCACGAGGCTTCGGCTTCTGCAGTGGGGGAGAAAACAATCCAGCCCTGGCGCGACCCACTGACGCGTGATGCCCTGGCTCGGCTAGCATGTACCAGTGGGGGGGGGAAAAATGAGTAAATATAAATACAGTGGACTCTCGATTATACGCGTGAGGTTCATCCGATTTGCGGATAAACCGCGCACTGGAGATTTTAACATAAATTGATAACTCAAGGATTTTCCCTTGAGCCCAAATTAATAATCCTAAAAAAGTTATAAATTTTTATTCTTGGAAATGTTTATTACAAGTCACGTGCTTAAACCGAACAAATATGTGCTCCAATTAATCCGAAATCCGTGTGATCGCCTCTACAGTACAGTAGTGGCATGTCTTTACAACAGTGGTTGGAGTTTGATGTTGATTGGCGTGTCTCTGCTATACACTTCGTGAGAAGTCTTCTGCACGGGAGCAGGGAAGTGCCATCACTGAGCACGCGTATCGATGAATGGATATTTTTGGGATTATCCGTGATTTTTAATTATCTGCGGCCATCATTAGCGTGGATAATGGAGAGTCCACAGTACATTAGGCATTGTTGTTGCACTTGAGTCTCTGGGTGTGTGTGTGGGCGAGTTTTCTCGCCGTGCCTGTCATTCTGATCGTGCCAGTGGAGGTAAAAAAAGCGATCCATGACAGTGTAATGAATGGTTGCATGTAAATTAAAGCACGCCTTAATTGCTGGCTTCAATGTCATTTCGTGCTCTGGTGTTGTCATTCTTAACGCCAATGATTAATGTAAGCATTAAACAGGTCTATTTTTTTGTGTCGAGACGATCCAAGGTGCCTGTCGGAGGTATACACGGGGCGGCAGGGCGCTGGCGCTGCGCCCGAGTTCAATTCCCGGCTTGGGGCGCCTTTCTTTACGGAGTTTGCAAGTTCTCTCCGTCTTCTGCAGAGCATGAGCGACAGTGTGTGTGTGTGTGAGATCGAGTGGTGGTGTTTTATTTTTCTCCCACCCTCTGTTCTGCAATGGGTTTCTTCCGGCTTCTCTGGTTTCCTCCCACAGCTAAAAAAAAAACCCCACACACACAGCAGCAGTGTAACTGGTATCATGGGACCTTTTTGCTCGTATAAAAATATGAAAAATAAGAATGTTTTTCACTTTCTGGCAATAAAACATCTGAACACTTGTTTTATTGCCAGAAAGGGTGAAACCTATTTGTATTTTTCATACTTTGATACTGGCAAATGAAGGTCCCGTGGATATAGCTGCTCAAGCCGAGCGCTATGAATGCTCTGATAGGTGCGTTGTCTTTGTGCTGTTCACCATTTGGCGTTCTCTGGTCCTGATATTGCTAGTGAGACTAGGCAATAAAGAAGACTGTTTCTGGTGTAGGCCAATCAGATTCATAGACAATGCATATATTATCAGAACATGTTTGTTTGCATGTTCACCACAAGTGTGGTTAATGCAGACGTGATACCTTGTAAAATTTATCGATTTGGTGCTTGAATATCTTAACACCTGTTTTATTGCCAGAAAGGGTCGATTGCAATTTCGCCATGAGCTTAACTTTTTTTTTGCCGTGCAAACTTGGCAGGACCCTCCCTGGAAAAACAAATACAAGTCTTGAGACTCGGGCGGCTTTCCTGGAGTGAAACGAGCGGAATGAATCCTGCTAATACCGCACTCGAATAAATAAGCCTTGTACGTCAAACCACACTCGCGTTCTTCGGTGAGCGGTTCAAAGGCTCGCCGCAACTCGTCTCACAAGCCGCCAAAGTCACGAATCCTAATCCAAAGGCGAGGGTTCAACTTACGGGGCCCACCGTCATCTTTTTAAATCGTCGCCATCCCCTTCTCTGGGGTTTGTAACAAGAAAACGAGCTTCACCCGTGTGCAAAAAGTCAACGGTGGGTCGCCACACACAAATAAACCCGTCCATGCCATGGGAACGTGTAATTTCCCCCGCTGGCTTGGGAGATCCTCCCAGAGAGAGGGCATGTGACCTGCAGTGTGGTAGGCGGGTGAGCGAGCGATTGGGTGAGTAA